TAATTTTTCTTTTATACTGGTTTATTAACAAAGTTCATGCGCATTAATTTTCACACCAGATCTTTCCCATTTCCGTTACCCATTCCTTCCTCCACCCATCAAATTGTATGACCCTCACACCTCTGCTCCTCCCCTCCTCCCCTTCAATCCTCATACATGTTCTACAATAACAATCTTACAGAGTATTTGTCCTTATGGGACTGAGTTAGTTCACTTAAGACAGGCAGTGATTTACAAAATCATTACTCCTGCATACTGTGTAGTAATCCATCATGTGAATGTACCATAATTTTTCAATCCATTCAATTGTGTTTAGATATTTGTGTTTAGATATTCAGTCCATTCAATTGTGTTTAGATATTTGGGCTGTTTTCATGTTCTTACAATGGTGAATAACACTGCTTGGTGTACAAGTCTTTGTTTGGGCCTCAGTTCTCATTTTTCTCGGGATATATTCCAAGTAGTGGAATAGCTGGGTCATATGGAATTTTTATGTTCAGCTTTCTGAGGATACATCAAACTGCCTTATGAGTGATTGTACCATTTTACAATCTCACCAACAGTGTACAAGAATTCCTATCTTACCGCATCCTTTCCAACATTTATTACTTGCTGTCCTGTCAAACTTTGCCACTTCTAATAGATTGAAATAGTATCTCACTGTGGTTTTTATTTTCATCTCTCTTATTGGCAGTGATTTTGAGCATTTTTTCATGTGTCTGTTGGCCATCTGATATATTTCTCTGTGAAATTCTTTACAAGTCTTTTACCCACTTTGCAATTATCAAATTTTTCTGGTGGAGGCCCTATAGTAGTCTGTAAACTTATATAATGAGATGCTTTTCTGAAATGGTATTGCCAAATTCACACACACACACACACACACACACACACACCCGCCAATCACTATGTTTTCTTTTGACTCTGTTAGAAAAAAATTATGCTCACTGGGATTTAATCTTTAGAAGGACCCATTCATCAATTTTATCCTCTCCAGACTGTGCATTTTTGGCTGTATTTGGCAGTCTCTTTACACTACAGAGTATGCTGTTTAAGCTTGAACCCAGTTTGTGTCTGATAAACTTTATGGTTTCAGGCTTTACTCGCAGGTCTCTGATCCACCTCGAGTTGATTTTTGTGTTTGGTATGAGATGCAGATTCTAGATCCTGTTTCAGCTTTCTGCAGGTGAAAGTCCAGTTTTGTCAGTACCATTTGTTGAAGAGGTTGTCATTTCCCCATTTGATAGCTTTGATTTCCTTGTAAAATATCAATTAACCATAGATAGCTGGGGCAATTTCTGTGTTCTCAATTATGTTCCATTGATCTATGTGTTTGTCATTGTACCAGTTCCATGTTGTTTTGGTTACTACTGCTATGTAGTAGGTTTACAGGTCAGGGAGTGCTCTGCCTCCAACCTCATTTTTGTTTCTCACAAGTGTTTTGCTTATTCGAGGCCTCTTGCCTCTCTAAATAAATTGGATAATTTTCTTCCAATCTCCTTGAAAAAATGAATTTTGCGTCTGGATGGGGATTAGGAAGTCTTTTTATGACTTGTTCAATTTCTTCTTTTGTGATGGACCTGTTCAAGTTCTACATCTATTTGGGTCAATCTGGGTGGGGCATGTTGTTGTTGTTATGTGTGTCGAGTCACTTGTGACTCATAGCGAACCCTATGTACAGCAGCTCTAAACTCTGCTCTGTCCTGTGCCAATCTCATTGTCTCCGACACACTCCTCCTGATTACCCCAGTCACAGAATCAATCCACCTCCCAGAGGGCCTTTCCTTCCTGCACCTGCCCTCCACCATCCCAAATGTAATGTCCTTCTCCAAGGACTGGTCTCTCCTTACAACATGACCAAAGTACATCAGACGAAGTCTCAGAATCCTTGCCTACAAGGAGCAGCATGATTTAACCCTCTCCAAGATGATTCTATTTTCTTAGCAGTCCATGGTACCCTCAGCACGCTTTTCTGACACCAAAGTGCAAAAGCATCAATTCTCCTTCTATCCACCCTGGTCATTTCCAGCTCTCTGACACATAACAAGTGATTACAAAGACCTTGGTCTGTACCAGATGCACCTGAGTCTCCAGAGACACCCCGTTGCTTTTCAGCACTTTAGAGAGGTGAGGCATGAGTATCAAGGAATTTGTCCAATTTCTTTAAGTTTTCAAATTTATCAGAATATGTTGTTGTTGTTGTTGTTGTTGTTGTTATGTGCTATTGAGTTGCATGTGACTCATAGCGACCCTATGTACAACAGCCCTAAACACGGCTCTATCCTCTGCCAATCTCACTGCCTCTGACACACCCATCCCAATTACCCCAGTCACTGAATCAATCCACCTCAGAGAGGGGTTTCCCCTCTTGCGCAGTCCCTCCACCCTCCCAAGCATGATGTCCTTCTCCAAGGACCGGTGCCTCCTTACAACATGCCAAAACTTGTCAGATGAAACCTCAGAATCCTTGCCTCCTAGGATCAGCCTTCTTTAACCCTCTCCAGGATAAGCCTGTTTGTTTTCTTGGCATTCCGTGGTACATTCAATACTCTTCTCCAGCACCACAGCTCAAAGGCATCAATTCTCCTTCTAACCTCCCTAGTTATTGTCTAACTCTCTGATGCATAACAAGTGATTGCTAAGACCATGGCCTGTATCAGTTACACCTTAGTCTCCAGAGTGACAGCATTGCTCTTCAGTACCCTGGAGAGGTCCCTAACAGCAGACTTTTCCATTGCAGTATGTTTTTTTTTATTTTCTGACTACTGGTGGTGCCAAGAGTGTTGGCCATGGAGCCAAGCAGACTAAAGTTGTTAACAATCTCAATCTCTTCACTGCCCATCCTGATGCTGCCAATTGGTCCAGTGGTGAGAATCTTTGTCTTCTTGATATTGAGCCTCAATCCTTACTGAAGGCTTCAGACTTTGACCCTCCGCAGCAAGTGCTTCAGGTCCTCCTCAGTTTCAGCAGGCAGGGTTATGTCATCTGAATAACACAGATTGTTAAGAGATCTTCCACCAATCCTGATGCCACACTTCTCCTCATAGAGCCCAGCCTCTCAGATAATCTGTTCTGCATACAGGTCACAAAGGTATGGAAATAGGACACATCCCTGGTGTACACCTTTCCCAATTTTGAACCATGCAGTGTTTCCTTGCTCTGTTCTGACGACTGCCTCTTCGTCCAAGTAGAGGCTTCGCATTAGAACGATCAAGTGTTCTGGGATTTCCATTCCTCTGAGTCAGCCACAGTTTGTTATGATCCACACAGTCAAACGCCTTTGCATAATCAATGAAACACAGATAGACATTCTTCTGGTATTCCCTGCTTTCAGCTAAGATCCATCTAACATCAACTACAACATCCCTAGTACCACAACCCCTTCTAAACCCAGCCTGGACTTCTGGCAGTTCTCTGCTGACGTGCTGTTCCAATCGTTTTTGGATAATCTTCAGTAGAATCTTGCTTGCATGTGAAATCAATGACATTGTTCTTTAGTTTCCACACTCTGTTGGGTCATCCTTCTTTGGAATGGCAACAAATATAGATTATTCAAATATTATTGCTTTTATTGAATCTGATTTTTCTTTGTTGTCACCTCTATCATTTCCTGATTGATTTATTTCTGTCTTCTCTTTCTCTTTTGTTTGCCAGTGGTTTGCCAATTTTATTAACTCTTTCAAAAAACCAGCTCCTGTTCTTATTGATAGTTTCAATTGTTTTTGTTTTCTATCTCATTGATTTCCACCCTTGTCCTTATAATTTTCTTTCTTCTAGAAGCTGTAGGATTAGATTGTTGTTGTTTTTCTATTTGATAAAAGTGTTGGGTTAGATCATTGATTCTTCTTCTTTCTTCCTTTTTCATGTGTGTGCCTATTGCTAAGAACTAAGGACTGCCTTAGTTAATATCCCAGAGGTTTTGATATTTTCACTTTCATTTGTTTCAAGGAACTTTTTTTACGTCAAACTTTATTTCTTTTATAACTCAGTTATGTTCCAGCAGGGTATTGTTCAGTTTCCACATGGATGTTTGTGTAAGTTTTAACCTCCTCTGGTTAATGTCTAGTTTTATTGCCTTGTATTCTTAGAGGATATTTTATATTATTTTATTGTTTGTGTTTAGTTGGGTTCAGTATCCTGAATATATCCGTAAGGTTGAATTGGCTGATTGTATAGTTTAGATCTTCTTTAACTTTGTTAATTTTTTTTTAGTTGACCTAACCTTTGTTGGTAGTGGTAAATTGAATTCTCCTACCACTATTGTGGTACTGTCTATTTATTTCTTTAATTCTGTTAACTATTGTTCTACACATTTTGCAGGCCTACCATTTGGTGCACAAATGTTGACCAAAGTTATGTCTTCTTGATCTGTTGTGCCTTTAAACAGTATGTAATGTCCTTCCTTATCTTTTATATTGTTTTCTATTCTGAAGTCTCTTTTAGTTTTGCAACTCCTAGTTTGTTTGGGGTTTTGTTGTTGTTGTTGTTGTTTTTGCTGTTTGCATGATATATTATTTTCCACCCTTTGATTTTGAGTATATCATTCTCTCCTTTTTTTAGATGTGCTTCTTGTCAGCAGCATATTGATGAGTTTTGCTCTTTTTTTTGTCTCTGTATACTTTCATTAAAATTAATTAAAAAAGTAGATCACAGAAAAACCCCAAATATGTGTTAATCAAGATAATCCATTGAGTAAATACATAGTAATTTCTAGAATCACATTAGTAGAATGAGAGAAAGTTGGCCAATTATGGCTGAATTTCTAGAATGCTTGAGTGCTTTTGTTAGTAGTACCGGAAACGACTGGACAATCACAAAATAGAGTCCTAGAAGGACTCTGACATTTCAGACATGACCCTGCAGATACCCAGACCCCAGGCGTTGTTATCACAGAGATGATAGGCAAGTCTTAAGGAGGGATGGTGCTCATGGAAGAACGTCTCCAGATCTCTTTACATGTGCACAGGATCCAGGAATCACGCCTTGATCTGGACTTAGTGTACAGCCACTTGCATGTACAGGTGGGTATTAGTTGAGGGGGCCTCAGACCTCTGTGGGGTGGGAGTGATATTTTTCCTCTTGGGAGTCCAGTGTCCCAGCTCTGTGTAAGTCACCTCTTGTGGGTCTTCTTCAGGTACCTTCCCACTCACTGCGGTGTCCACTTCAGGCTCTCTGCTGAGCATAGTGGCATCCTTTTTTGCACGACAGCAGTGACAAATGAGGAAGCAAATGAGGAGGACCAGGATGATGGTGACCGCTGAGAGTCTAATCAGAATAGACAAAAGTCTACTGTTACCAGCTTGGGAATTCGGTTCTGCCGGTGATGAAAACTTGCTTGTGGGTGATGGGGAAGTACTTGTGGGCAGTGGAGATGAGTTTGTGGGTGATGGAGAAGTGTTTATGAAGTTTTCTCTGCAACTCTTTTTCTCTTCATTGACACATTTAATTAATTTACATTAAGTGAGATTATTGTCAGGCCAAATTTTATCATTAACATTTTGCTGTGTTCCATTTTCTATTGTTTCTGGTTATTTTGGTCCATCCTCTTTCCTTTGGCCTGTCTGTTGCTTATCTGAGGTGGCTGCCGCTTTCAAGCCTCCCTTCCGCCCAGGAGCACACTTGTCCAGTATGGACTAAG